CTACGGCTCCTCCACGGATTCTGAGGGGGATTGCTGCTCCTGCTCCTCGATTGTCTCTTCCAGGGATTATAAGTGCCTTTGACGACGCTTTTGCCTGCCATTCCCTTGTTAGCATCAGATTTGGTAGTGGTACTTTCTGTAGAGGATTCCCGGCACTGACTTTTGACCTTGAAGCTCTGGATCGAAGGTGCACTTGCGGTAGAGGTAGAACTGCCATCAGAGCCATCACTCGAGCCAGAACTCGAGGAAGTGCTTGGACCCGAGGAGGTAGAGCTGGAGCTCGAGCTGGACGAACTCGATGATGTCGAACGCTTACTGGTTGGGCTTTTCCCCTTTTCATCCACCTCCGGCTCAGATTCTCCGCCAGCTTTCATCTCCGCCGGCTGGCTAAGTGTTTGCTGAATTTCCATATCCCTTTTCTCTTCCGACTCGCGAATTTCGTCTTCAATCAGTTGCTTATTTAGTTCTTCAGGTGTCTCACTCATTTTTCTCTAAATTTTCGTTATTCTTTCACGACTTTTTGCAATATTTTTGGGAATTTTCACTTGTCAAGCCAAGCAAATGGTCGAACGTTGTCAGAAAACACACAGCTATAGATTGTGGTGTTGGTTAATGTTTGTTGTGTCAAAATTATTTTTAAGTGTTAAGAAAAATATTTCTACAGCGACAATAATATGTATTAATGTAGCCATCCTAAACTATTTTCAAAGAATTAGCTATTGCCTTTTCTAGTGAGCCTGCAAACATTTTAAAATGGACTTGTAGCTTTTTTTGTAATACCATATAATAAACATATTTTATAATCCACTTTTAATAGTAGGAATAAAGGAAGAAAATAGCTAAACTAGCAAGGATATTATAGATTTGAAAAGATTTTTTCATTTGTATGTAAATTATTATTTTCTTTATTTATTTAACATTTCAATTTAACATAAAATAGAATAACAAAATAGAAATAGCATAAAACAAAATCAGAGTAGCATAACGCAAAATAAACATTCTAAACCATAATCGGCATATTTCTGTTTATAAAGACCAGACTTCCCAGTTAACTATTAATACAGTTCGTACATATTTTGAGTCCACTTTTATGGTCTTCAAAATGTTTCATTTCCCGAGTGGAGACTGTCCCAGTTCCGGACAAAGATACGGAGATACGGGTCCGGACTTCGCTGGCGGAAGTGAAGAGCTCACTTACCCAATCGAAAGACCCAAATAGAGAACTGGGCATTATCTGCCCCTGTTTGGGTTATCTGCGTATAATTGGCGACTGTGTGAGTGTCCGAATGTTTGGTCAATTAAAAGCATTCGCTGGCTTTTTATCAAATTCAATTAGCCACCGACGACGAAAGCCAAACAAAGTGCCCAAATAAAACAGAAAAAAAAAGAAAAAAACGTAACGGAAAACATTGAGCAACAAAGTTGCTTATTGGGCAATATTGGAGTGGGTGGATCATCAGTTTTAAAAATATTCAAAACTTAAAAACGCGCATGCATAAGCGAGAAGTTCTAACTATAGAAAATCCGTATAATTAACTAGATAAATTGGCAAGCAATTGGCTATACAGATCGTTAAGACAGTTCGCTAATGATCGTCGGACAGCTAACGATCTCCTTTGGCTAATTGGCCCTCCCCCCCTCGCCCCGTTGTTCGGACCACCCTTCGTTTAAAGTGGCCATCAAGTCGTAATTACGATCGTTGTTGGAACGATGAAGACATCAAATCGCACTGCATCCCCCTCAGAATTGCTGGCCATTCAACGAGAGATTTGTTTTGCTTTAAGACCCATAAGACTGAGAGATCGAGAGACCGACAGACCGAAAGAGCCCCACTTCTCTATCCCGGAGTTTCAATTAAAGTTCCATTAACGCTTCGCGACACACACAATTATCAAAAATTATATTTATGCTTATGACATTTCCGGCAGCCGTCGCAGGTTCCCCCCCCCCCCCCAATCTTTGGCTGGTGCAAAATTTATGTGATGTGATGTGATGTGATGTGAGTCTGAGTCTGAGTCATTTCATTTATTTCGAGACAGCGCAGACAGAAGATCAAAGCAACTTCATGATTATGCTGCACGCATATCCATCACCATATCGAGCACTCGCCTCGGGGTGGAGTTGTCTATGCTTGTTGTCCATTGGGGAATAGAGGGGGGGGGAAATATCCAAGATCCAAGATCCCCGAGATCCAAGATCCAAGATCCGAGGTGAGGTGTGTATTTGCAGGTGAGGCTGCGAGATCGCTGTGTGTGGCTACAGTGGTTAGGGGAGTGGATAAACGTATAAAAACAGCGTTACCTTTAGCACTTATCCAGTAACCAAGCCTACAAATATAGCAGACATATGATAACTCCAAATTAAAAACTCTAAATGATAGGAGCAAATTAATGAAAATACTTTATAGAATTTACTAGCTCTGATACAGTGGCAAATTAATCAATTTTTAATTTTTATGCACTCACTCAAAATTACAATTAATCCTTGGCTAAAAAAATTAACTTAAATTCTTTTTGGGCCAACGAAAAAGTTATTTACATCACCAATTTCGAAACAAAGTAAAAATGAAATTTAGAAAATCTATTTTACCTAAATTTTTTTAAGATATAGATAGTTTTTAGTCTATTCACAGCCAACACTACATAAATATAATTTTGTTTACAGTCTAAAAACTCCAATTTTAAATGATTAGACGTGGGAGTTTTGGGACCTTAAATTTTCAGCGATTTTTGAGTAGACACACTATTTTTCTTTTCATAAAATCACAATAATCAATAAACAATCAATAGAATTTAAACGTTTAAAATAAGTTTTCTCATATAATTCGACGTCTATTTACGTTGTTAGAAAATAGTCAGTTAATAACAGTCACTAATTTTACTGCTATCTTGAACAGTAACTGACATTTCCCAACACTTATTGTGTTATATTTCTGCCCCGGCTTCAATGTTCTATGAATTCTTGGCTATGTTCCTGCTAAATAACAAATATCCGCACACATTTGGACCGTCGCAGCAGGAGGGACAACCAAAGGGGGCAAGGCGATCTCGATGCCGATACGAGTACGAACCAAGAAGTACAGAAAACTTCGGCAAGTCGAAATTTAAATACCCTCTCAGCTATTACAAACAAAATTCTTTAAAACAACTTTATTTCGATTTGTATGCGTGTATGAAAAAAAAAACAATTAAGCAATGTCGATTTTCGGTTGAATTTTAATTCTAAAATAGTTAGCCATAACTATGTTTTGAAGTATACTCATATAAAGCTCTAAAAATGGCTGGATCGACAATATATTTATTTATATTTAATATGATTGGAAATGTCTCATTTAGTAAGTTTCTTACAAAACTTATGTTACCCTTTGCTAGGGTGTAAAAACGAAAAAAATAAAAAACACAGCAAAATAAAAGAGAGAAAAACACAACTGCAACTGCAACTGCAACATCGCAACATCGCAACATCGGGGCAGCAACAACACAAGTAAAGACAAATTGTCTACGGGTTGAGGTCTTGCTATTGGCCTCCAGCGTGACGATGTCGGGTGCTACTGGCGCCACTCAGCGCCAACAAAACAGAAGACTGAAAACTGAAAACTGAAAACTGAAAACCGAAAACTGAAAACCGAAGACAGAAAACCGAAAACAGAGGGCCAAAGGCAGCGGGCAGGGAGCTGTGGTTATGGCATGTGCCACCCAAACCAAACCAAGCCAAACCGAAACTGAAAAACTGAAAAACTGAACAACTGAACAACTGAAAAACTGTAGAAGTGAAGCAGTGAAAAACTGACTGAGTGAAAAACTGAAGAGCAGAAAAACAGAAAAAAAGAAAAGCAAAAGCCAAGCCAAAGCGAGCCAAGCGAATAGAACTACTGATCAAAGAAAAGACCATAGCATGGCAGATGTAAGAAATAACAAGATTGTATATGTACAACATATATTATATAAATACATACAAGTAACCGAACATTATTGGGGATAGTTTATGTCCATCAAATGTTCTCAGAGATCAGATGTAAGTAGCATATTAAGAAGTTCAGTTCTGCTAGTGGGAGGTAGAAAATCGTATTCATAACAAATGTGACATTCTTAGACATTCTTCAAACTTATCAAATGTTTTTTCGTATATTTCCGAAATCCTCATCTTTACAAGGACCTTCTTCGAATGACTGCTCATCATTTAGGAACTTTGATGGCATTCATGGCTATTAAAAATTTAAAATTTTCAAACCAACTCTAGTAATCAAAACATACCGCGCAGAAAATTGCATATTTTTTAAAAAATGTTCTTTGGAAGATAATATATAAACTATACAAAAATGGACTATTATTAGAACAGTAACAAATTTAGATGTTCAGCTGTTTTAACTACTGAATAGGAAAAATAAGTTTCCAAACAAGTATTGTTAATGAATTTCCCTGGCTGAATTGATCTCCAATCATTAGTTTGTAGTTAGAATAAACTAAGGTTAATTGTAAATCGAATTTATAGAAATTCGTACGGTCGATATAAGTAATGATTTTATAAAATAATATTTATATTTTTATTCTTATTGTAATTGTTTTGATATTTGTATTTGCTTTAATTTGTTTGTTTCCCGGTTCAGCTAATAGTTGTGGCAATGCTTTTAGGTTAATTTACTAGATACCTTAAAATGCCCAACTCATTCGACGGTATCCTTTTGTTCCTCGACTTTTATTATCCCTGCCCCTTGGCTTACTTCCCTGGCACAGCCTTTGCTTTGGTGCTTCATTTAAATTATGAACTTATGAACAAATGCTTTCGGTTGAGCAACTGAGCTGGCTCAATGAACTCCCGGTGACCTGGTTTTTGCTTTTTTCCCACTGGAGAGTGCCGTTGGCCAGGTAAGAAGCTTTTTAGCCCGGCCATAAAGATGAAATGGAAATCTGTCGAGCTCTTAGCACTTGAAAAGTGTCGAGAGTGCGAGTATGTGGGCTGGAAAACGTGTGACTTTTCTTTTACGATTCGGAAGAGCTTACCTTGCACAATGCCACGCCCGTGTCCAGTCGATCCATGAAGTTCTCGGCATTGATGCTCAGCTCCGGATAGAGTGTGCTGAGCCATTCGGCCAGATCCTCCTTCATGGCCTCCAGATATTCCTCGCTGGATTTAAATGGCCTGTACGGCCTTGCCTCCAACATGGCCATCGTCGAGTTGTGCTTTGTGAATCCCCTTAAAATTCTATTTCACAGCTCCTTTGCCTTAGCTTTCGATTTTTTGGGCTTAGTTTATGTATTTGTTTTTTTTTTTTTTTTTTTATGTTCCTTGTATTGGGGAATTTCGGGCGACCTTAGCAAAGATTGATCGTCGGATTTTCGTTACGCTTTTGGCTGCAGTGCATTGCGTCTGGTTCGGATTAGCGTTTCGATTGGGTTCGAATTCAAGCTGCAAGAAATAGTAAGAAATATTGTAAAATTTATATTTTAAATGTTCAAGAATTTCCCCCCTTGTTGATTGATGATATGCAATCAGATTGCCAGCAAGTGGATCATAAATTGCAAAAATTGTTGCACCAAAGCGGCGTAAATTTATGATTGTGCCACTGCAGCTGACATAATTATGGGACTGAAAACCACAACGGCAAACAACCGCCGCCGCCGGCAACAGCAACTGCAAAAAGTTATACAAATAAAATCAATAAATAAAACATAAAAGTGACTCGCGAGCGGCACACAATCGTCGTCGGTTACTTGAAAAAGCCTCAGACAAGCCAGCAGCAACCTCAAGAAAACCAAGTTGGTACGAGTGTTGGGCGCCAGGTTAATGGCATCACATCACACCCAAGTTAAAGTCCACAACCCCCCGCCCCAGCTCATTAACAGGTCGGTTTCTCGAGCGGCTAATTAGCGGTAAGCCCAATTGAACTGTGAACTTCGGTCAGAAGGAGAGATTAATGTCGAAGACGATTGCATTTTTTGAAGCTACCAACCGACCGGCAATTGCCAGCCAAGGCCAGTCATAAAACTTATGGCTTATCAAAAGCGTTTATCGAATTATCTTTTGCATAAGGATGCCGCAACAGGATTTGACCTTGGGCCATCAGAACAGGTTGCTGGTTTTGCCATCCGCCCCTCATTAATCCTCCGATGGGTTTAAGCCACGCTCGAAACGATCTCAAGCAAAAAGGAAAACGAACGGAAACTTTTTACATGTAATAACATTATAGATAAAGATGGGTTCCTAGGGCCTTTAAAAGTAAATGTAAATTATTAAATTCAAACTTTTTGTTCTTAAATACGCCTAACAAAACACGAAAATTAGGACTTGTGGGACTTAATAAATTAACAGGTCTATAAGACTTTTAGGAAAATATATAATTAAAATGCCAAGAACCCATAATTTTGTGAAGATATAAATTTGTAAAACAACAAAATATGAAGTAGTTGCCGATTTCTTTTAGTTACCATAAAGGTAGGCGATATTATTTAATGTATATACAAAATCTCTTGATTTCATTAGAAAAATTCTAATGCAAAGTCAGAATCAACTTCACACCTTCGACACACCTGCCACATATTAATTGGGCCAAGGTATCTTGTAGGACCGATCGGTAATAGTTTCGGTTTTTTTTAACCCAATTGGTGAAAGAGTGGGAACAAAGGTTTATTTAAAATCAAAACCCATTCGCATTCGCATTGGCATTCCGCTGTTTTCGGCTTTTGGTGTGTGTTTTAAATGTTTTGTGTATTTAATTCGCCTGGCTATTGGATCCGTTGGTCCCCGGAGTTGTATTAAGTGCTTACGTAACCGCCTCATTCCCGATGAGGCTGGTCTTAATTAAGGCGCATCGATTTGGCCACTTACGTGTTTTTGATTTTTTTGGTTTTTTTTTTTTTTCAAAATGATCAGGCGAATTCGGAATCGGATTGCGATTCGGACAAGTACAAAAACCCATGTGTGTTGGCTAATTTGCTGGCCATTGATGGTCCAAAAGAGTAACCCTCGGCGGGGAGTTTGGGCATTTGGCCAAATCCGCTTCTCATCCCCGGATTTCACTTTCGCACTTGCGAAAATCTTTTGCCTAGATCGATCAATCTATTCACATGCCACGCCCCCTGCTGACTGACCCAAGCCAGAGAATGACTAAAAATTAAAAAAAAAACAAAAAATCAAAAACCAAAAAATAATATAAAAAACGCAAAAAGTCGCAAACTTTCGAGACAAACAAATATGCAAATGCTCGCTGGCCTTTTGTTCGAATGATTAGCGGTATTTTTGAAAGTGAATTTAATTAAAAAATCCGCATCCAAACACAGCTAAATGTATAAACAGCACACACATTTTGCATAGGATGCGCCGTCGGCATCGATTCGCATATAAGGCCTGTCCCATTCCATTCCAATCCAATGCGATCCAATCTCCTCCCATCGCCAAGTCTGGTAATTGAATGTGCCTCTGCCGTTTTTGTTTTTATTTTTATTTTTTTTTTTTTTTCCATTGCCGATTTTCACATTCGAAATTGTCATTTCAACTCCCCCACATTTCCCGCTGTTTGATATATTGCTTTTCAATGGTTCTCTGTTCTGCCACGCGTGAAACTTGTCCCTTATCTTTCCAAAGTTCCCAGACCTTATGGCTGTACAGTTGATGAGCTCTCATATATTAATTAATTATCAGACATTGCAGCAAGTGTTCCATATGACCTTGTCTATCGTAAGAAAACAGTTTCTATTTTGGAGAACCTTGCATTTGTATACATATTCAGTAATCACCCAAGTGATATAAATATAAACTTGTTATCTTTCGAGTTTTAATTGTTTTATTAGTAAACGACTGTTTTTTTTACAGTCTAATTTGATAAGACTGATTGTGCTTGTTAAATAAATTTTGCTATAAACTAGGTATATTTCGAGTTGTTATGGCTTATTGGTTTATAGGACATGTATCCTTTTAATAGAATAATTGAGGTATTTATAGCATTCAAACACATAACATTTACAATTACATTTACATTATATAACTAGGATGACTATATTTTATAGATTTTAGTAAATTGATTTAGTACTAAACATTTATAACTTGCTAGTTGTCTTCTTAAAAGTATTTTGTAATGTAATTTGATAAGACTGATTGTGCGTATTAAACAGTCTGTTACACAATTGCCATTCGGGTATTTCTTTCATTATCTTTTTGATGTTTCTTAAGTTCTTCAAACTAACAGCCAAGTAACAAACGAACTAATGAGATCGCCCCCCTCCAATATTTTTGTATGTTTCCATCGCCTTTTCCCCCACTTTTGACAATGGTAAAGTGTAAATTGCCAAACGACAGTAAAAATGATCGAGAGTGTGAAGCGATAACAGCAACAGCAACAGCAACAGCAACATATAACTTTGGCTATAGCCACAGTGAGTATGGAAAACATGTTATAAAAGTAACGAATTGAATCTTTTTGTGGTTGCTGCTGCTGTTTACTTTTTCAATTAACAATTACAAACGTCGCAAAAGAGATAGAGTTTGTATTTGTAGTTGGCGCTCATGTGATTGAGTTTCACAACGCTGAAATTGGGTAGGGGGCGGTATTGGTATATCGATATCCGATGGACCAATAGAAAATTAATGCGAGACACATGAGGATTTCAAGTGCGAACGAAACAAGATGTCAAGTATCTATTGCATGTCCAAGAGATACTCGATGGTTTTGGTTGTTTCGATTCAGTATATCGGCTTGATTAAAGCACCAGGAAAAGATTACAAGCATAAATGCTCAAAGCTTGCCTAATAAACTATTATAGAAATTTAGACCTTATACTTTTGCTTTATGGCACTATAATTCCCAACAAGTTTTATCGCTTTAAAGGAACAGACACGAAACAAAATGCGGCAATGAAAAAAAAAATAACAATCTTTTTAACTTTTATTTTGAAAACAAACTCAAATTTTTATGGATTTTAAATCAATTAGGGAAATTGAAACATAATTCATTGCGTTTTTTCAGTGTACTCCCCAGAGAGTTCTCCATCATAACTCATTCCTCATATTTTCCATTTATACCACCCAAACGTTCAATGACACTTGAAGCGACAATCGAAACGATTTCGTTTCAAGCAACAACATTCAATGGGAGTGCAGTTCACACTCCCACTCCGAATTGCCACCCCGTTGCCAGGCCAAGCATCAAGGCATCAACATCGACCAGCTCCATCTCCAGCTCCATCTCCATCTCCATCTCCATGTCCCAACTCTCTCGAAACCATCTGAACTTGATGCACTCGCATCTGTCAGAAATTTCAGTGTCGAATGTGAACCATGGACCATGGACCATGGACCATGGACCATGATTTTGACAGTGCACATGTATGTATATGGTGTATATGAAATGGATTGGATGCAGTGTGTCTCTGTTGAGTGCTCCCCATTCAACAGCAAGCAACATATGAAATCTCGTTCAAGTGCAAAAGTTATTTTCACAAGTTATTATCTATCCATTTGCAGCCATTGAGCCAACAACAATGGTTAAGCATAGCACTCGAATGGAGTTGCCTCTCCCAAAGTTGTACCCATTTTCGCCCTCTTTTGCATATAATCGTATATGATACGTATACCCATATGGAATGTTTGGCTCCTTTTGCGAGCGTTCCCTTTTGGTTCCTTTGTCTGTTGAATGCATTGTCATCCACATCCACATCCACCCATTGCATTCCAGCCTATTTTTCATCATCAGCCATCAGGCGGCGTTGCCATAAATGTCAGCACTATCCCTATTCCACCTCATTTTCCGCATTTTCCCCGCTCATTTGCTTAAATGCACTTGGCGGCGGAGTTTCCATTTTGACGCTTTGTCTCCGGTTCGTTTCGTCATTTACGGCTAAATCAATAGACGGCAGACAAAAGGAGAACCGGCGCCGCCATTTTGTAGTTAAGAATCAAAAAATATGGTATGGAAAAAAAGTACTAGCAAAGAGTAGGTTGAACGTATTTTACAGTGGTTTTTAGTTTGGAACGTATAAACTATGTGATAGCATTCAAATGTTATAATCTATTCACCCCCAAGCTGTAAATTAATTATATCGAAATTAGTAGCTATAAATAAAGTAAAACTAAGCTTAAATGTGATTTACGACTGTCCCACCATACCATACATATTCAAAACACATTTTAACATAAAGTCCGAAAATGATACGGTTTATAGGAATCGAACACGAATTCAAATATTTTATTAATTATGTGATTTGAGCACATGTTAAAATTAATTTATATTTTAAATTAATGTTTTGCTGACATTTTCATTTTAACTTTACGATTACTGTCAGTATTAGAGTTGCTTTCTGAACAAACAGCCATTGCCAAATGCAAATCCATATAAATTGAATTATGTTTATGACACCATTATTTCTGAACGGTTTCACGTTGGGCTCTATTCATTTCATTTGAATAAATAGTAG